ATGAAGGGGTGGCCAACACCAGGAGGAGTATCTAGAGCTGTTCGCAGCAGGGCAAGCCGTCTTCAAGATCGAGGTCTGATCCTGGGCTCGGAGGTGGCTTGCGCCCATTGGGGCTTGGCCTGGGGCATCGTCGCCGCCGCTGGATACTCCTCGAATTTTTTGCGGGCCGTTGGGTCCTCCCTGGGTTTCTGGCTTCCTCGTCGCCTCGCTGGATTCCCCTCGTTTGCTCGCTGGGCACTGGCTCAGCGCAGCGTCTCGGCGCAGGCCCGAGAGGCGTCTGCCTAGGTAGCGGGCCTTGCAGACCAAGGCGTTTCATCAGATCCCTCAGATCCCTCAGATCCCTCAGATCCCTCAGATCCCTCCTCCCAGGGATGAAAGGCCTCAAATGTATCAGCCAGCCGTCGTCTGATCATAAGGGTGCGGCCTTCTGAAAAGGCAGGGGGCGCGTCATCCGCAACAGGCATCTGGACACGTACGACCTCTCTCTCGCCGACTTCTGAGGGACAGGCACGAGATGGCCGCCCCTGGCACGCGGAGGACGTGTACTACGCTGGTCATGAGAGTGCCTCTGCACCTCAGGGAGATGGGGCCGATGTGCAAGACTGTGGGGTAACAATCTACGGTGACCTCTCCGAAGAAAAGGACGCCCCTATAGACCAAATTCCCAAACTCGGGGGCGGCCAAAGAGGGGGGCGTCAAAGAGGGGGGGAGGGGGGGGGGAAATCATGGCCAGCGGCATGTGCACGTAATGAAATAAGAAGGGGTGCCATGAAATCTGAGGAAACATCATGGCCCACGCCATGATATCCCCCCCTGGTCATCACCCCCCTCTCTGCCGCCCCCGAAGACTGAGGGGTAACAATCCACAGAGGCCTCTCCGAAGAGGACGCCCCGATGCACCAAACCCCCACACGCCTTTCCGCATCGATAGACTGACTCCAATCCCCATCCGGCAGACCTGGTGCCCCCTGGCCGACCCATCTCCTTCGGTGGGGACAGGCGGCGCTGTTTCGGGCCGCGTGGCACCTGCCCCCACCCAGAGGCGGCAGGCGGGTGACGTAAGAAAAAACCCAGCCCGCGTGGGAAGCAGAGAGGTATAGCGAGACTGCGCCTTTTGAGAAGGGTCTATCAAAAAGCTGCGCCCCTCCTCCCCGCGCCCCCCTGGTTCCAGCGGTCGCGGGGGTGCCAGGCCAGAGCGAGCTGCCGAATCCCGAAAGGTCACCAGAGGCCCCCTGAGGTATCCATATCGGGGGGACTTACGGGGGCAGAGGTGGGGTTCGAGGGACATCGATGCAAACTGCCCCTGGAAGAGGGACGTGTGAGATTCTTGCTGGGCTCGTTCCCCAACCCCACCTTGGGATACCCCCCCCCCTCTATGCACCCCAGACCCCTGTGTCCCCCGAGGTCCTCCGAGGCCAACCTGGACCCTCCAAGGCTCCCCGGGCAGCCCGAAACAAGCCAAGTCACCCCTGCCACTTCGAAGGCTTCCCTCCCGCCATCTTCTATCATTTTCGCCCGTGGCCGGGCACCCGCCCTCGCCGAGCGGCTCTGGGTACAGCTGGTACTGCATGTGCAAGGCAGAAGCGTCTGGGTACCGATCCAACAAACCAAGAAAGCACCCGACCTGCGGTCTGTCGCTCATCTCTCGTCCTGCACCTGCACCTCAACTTCAACCTCATCCTCTGCAGTATCACCATTACCATCATCATCATCATCATCATCATCATCATCATCATCATCAGCAGCAGCAGCATCATCATCATCATCGTCATCATCAGCATCACCACCACCACCACCACCGTCATCATCATCAGCATCACCACCACCATCATCATCATCATCATCATCATCATCATCATCATCATCATCATCATCATCATCATCATAATCTTCATCATCATCATCATCATCACCATCATCATCATCATCATCATCATCATCACCATCATCATCATCATCATCATCATCATCATCATCATCATCATCATCTTCATCATCATCATCGTCAGCATCATCATCATCAACGTCATCATCAGCATCATCATCATCATCATCATCTACCAACACCAACAACACCATCACCATCATCATCCTCATCGTCCTCATCCTCCTCCCCCTCCTCCTCCTCCTCCTCCTCCTCATCATCATCATCATCATCATCATCAGTCTCATCATCAGCACCGTCACCATCACCACCACAATCACCATCACCATCACCAGTATCATCATCAGCATCAGCATCATCAGCATCAGCATCAGCATCAGCATCATCAGCATCATCATAATCATCACTATCAGCAGCAGCATCTTCATCATAACCATCACAATTCCCATCCCCATCATCATCAAGACCAGCACAGGCACAAGCACCAGAACCAGCACTAGCACCACACTCACCATCGTCATCATCAGCCTCAGCATCATTAGCAGCAGCATCAGCATCATAGTCATCATCCTCACGATCACCATTACCATCCCAATCATCAGCATCATCAGAAACAACATCATCATCACCATCACCATCAACATCACCACCACCGTCACGATCACCATGACCATCACCATCTCATCACCATCACCACCACCACCAGCACCATCAGTATCAGCATCATCAGCATCATCAGCATCATCATCATCATCATCATCATCAGCATGGCATCAGCATCCGCATCATCATCGTCACCATCATCATCATCATCATCATCCTCACCATCACCATCACCATCACCACCATCATCATCATCAGCAGCAGCATCGTCAGCATCATAGTCATCACCCTCAGCATCAGCATCAGCATCAGCATCAGCAGCAACATCATCATCAGCAGCATCAGCAAGAACATCATCATGATCATCAGCAGCAGCAGCTGCAGCAGCATCACCATTCTGTTCATGTCTGCCTAATTTCCATTCCTCGTCCCTCCTCCCTCCCTGCTCCCTGCTCACCCTCGCCCTCCTCCATCCCTCCTATCCACTTCAATGTGTTCCTCCCTCCCCCTCCCCGCTCGACGGGAAGTCAAAAAGGATTCCCTGCTACTCCTCCTCATCCTTCTCCTCCTCGGCGACCTCCTCCTGCTCCTCCTCCTCCGCCTCCTCCCACTCCCTTTCCCCTTGCCCTCCTCCCCAAGAGGGCCTGGTGGTCTTCAAAAGACGCTGCCTCGCCCACCGCCCAAACTAGGGGAACGAAGAATGACATGACATAAACATACAAACTCGGAGGTCCGCGCAAATTGCTCGGATCGGCGCTGGACCCCTCCCTGGCGCGCGGAGCGCGCCAAGGGCAGCGCCAGAGGCGCCGCCAAGGGGGTCCAGCGCCGATCCGAAAAATCCGCGCGGACCTCCGAGTTTTCATGCTTATGTTAGGTCGGGCATGTCCCCCTCTACAGGCGGTTTTTGGGCGAACAATAGAAAATGCAGAAAAATACTCCAACGATGCTCAAAAATTTGAAAAGTCGTCCCCATACTATGTTTGACTACTTTTGAATATTCCTCCTGTAGAGGGACAGGCCCGAATTTTCATGTGTGCGTCAGTCATCGTTCCCCTACATATAGAATGTAGACGGGCGAATGGCAGGCCGTGCGTGCGAAGCGATGCCCGAAGCCCTCGACCGATGTTGCGGCCTTCCTCCGACGAGGCGGTGAGACGGCGCTCGCGTGCTGCACGGCTGCTGCCCGCCCGGCGGCCAGCGAAGACGCTCCGATGCGGGAGATGCTGCCGCGGGGCGCGCCGCCAGCGGCGTGCGCCAAGAGTGCAGGAGGGAGGTCCCCTGCCTGCCCCTGCCCCAGCAGAGAACGAGTTGCAGTAGGGGCTCAACCACACGAAGCCTTCCACGAGAAACCAAACCATGGAACCCCAGGACGTCCACATGGGAACGTCACGCTGTCCATGGCAAAACCATCGAAACCCAAGAAGCCCAGGGAACCCTGGCTGCAAGCAGGGTGTTTCTTGGCATGGGCTTCCTCTGTAACGATGTTTCGACTTCAACCCACGCTACTGGATGTCAGTGGCCCGACGCAGCGCCATCACTTGAGCCCTCGAAGGAGGGTTCAGACCCATCCCCCTCTCCTCCCTCTTGTTGTCCTCCTCCTCCTCCTCCTCCTCCTCCTCCTCCTCCTCCTCCTCCTCCGATGCTTCACAGCGTAGCAGCCGGGCGTTGGGAAATCCGAGTATGGTAAGTGTTCGCTTTTGTGCCATAGCGGACACGCGCCTCCAGCCAGCGGCACCGCTTACCCCCCATGCGTCGTGCACGCACGGCGCCCATCTAGTCGACCGCATCGGATACCATCGGCGAAAAAGGCGAGCCGCCTCTTGCCCTGGGCTCGCGTGGTCAGATCGATCAGCGCAGCGTGCAGGGATCGGCACGCGTCCTCGGACCCATCGAGCCCGTGGACGGTCATGCCGCCTTGGGTCTCCTCTCACGACGAAGCCAAGAACAGGACAACACCAGACCAGGACATACCGGGTACCTCTGAGATCCGGCGGTTCTGGAGCATGTGTCGGGCGCCACGTCCGTTCCAGAGCGCTCCAGAGCGGCCCTGGCGCCGCCCAGACGGGCTCCAGGTAAGCCAGAACAACCTCCAAGAGACTCGGGGGCCCTCTGGGGCCGAGCGGCCCCCAATCGGGACATGAGGCACGAGATCGGGGGACTCGGGTTGGCCTGACAGGACAATCATAAAAACAAAAAAAACCGGTCTGAAATTTGACGCGAGCTCCCCCTGCAAGCATCCCACGAAAACTGAATGTCAAAAAATCCAGGACGCGCTCGTCAAAAACGTCGGCAAGCCCGAGCTCCCGCGTACTCGAGCCTTACGCTTCGGTCGGACATGCCCTCCTACAGGCGGAGCCTGGAAGAAAAATGAAGAATCGCCGAAACAAATGCATACACCAGTAGCCAAAATTGTAGAAACATCGTCCCCTGCCTGTAGAGGAACACGCACGACTTGATCTCACGTCTCCCCGACATGAGCTCCGCCCGAGCAGTCCTCCGCCCCCCCAACGGCCTCCTGCCTGCCGTACTGCTCGGCCTCCTGCCTGTTGTACTTGGCCCTCCTGCCGCTCCTCGCCGCGGGGGCGCGCTCCGGGCACGGGCGCAGGACGAGGATGGCACCACGATGCGACTGCCTCGGGATACTCTCGCGCGCGCGCAGAGGTACCAGACCACCCCAACCCAACCCGAAGACCCGAATTTGACCCGAATTTCGTGTTGGGGGGAGGTACGGGTTCCATGTGTTTTTCAGTGTTCCTCGACCCCCCCCCCAACTGGAATGGGAGGGCAAATTGAGGCCTTCGGGTTGGGTTGGGGTGGTTTGGTGGGTGGTGATCTCAGAAGGAGACCACTTCTTAGAAGACGCGGGCCATACATTTAGAGACAACGCCGGCGCCTTCTTACAAAATCGGCCCCCAGGCCCCTCCCTGGAGTCCAAATGCACCCATTTTCCGAGCTGCGTCCAGCCGTGGCAACGTGGTCGCCCCCCTCCAACAAAAAGATCAACAAAAAATGATATGACCATAAACTTTCGGAGGTCCGCGCGGACTTCTTGGATCTGCACCGGATACCCCTCTCGGCCGGGCGGAGCGCAACAGGGGCGGCGACGGTGGCGCCGCCGGGGGGCCCGAGCGCCGATCCAAGAAACCCGCGCGGACCGCCAACAATCTATGCTTATGCCCATTTGCCGTTCTTCTTCGAAACTGAACGGTGTCTCCACTACCCCTTCGCTGCGATACGCGCCAGGCTTCCTGGAGACCCCCCCCGCTTGGGCAGGAACAGACCGTCCCGTCATTCCTATAGGCCTACCGCGAAATTGTCTTAGAACCGAAAGCTGTTCTAAGAACCACAAGCATGGTCTCATGACATAGGCCCGATGTGTTCAAACGAGACAGTCTCAGCCAGAAATGCTCTGAAAACATCTCGCGCAAGCCACAGAAGGCTCTTAGGACATTCCTTGGTGAACATATATCGACGAGCGCGTTCCACTACTCGCGAAATGTCTACTCGCAAATGGCCTGGATCCGCCGGGGGAGACCTACGAGAAATTACATCGAAACAGACATATGTTTCTCGCACGTTTGCGAGTAGGCACTTTGCGAGTAGTGGAACGCGCTCGGTGACTCTAGGCGAACCAGGATGCTTCGCCACTGCTTGACGGAGACCCCCCCCCGCAATCCTGCCGCGCCGCGCCTGCAGCGCGAGCCCGGCCAGGGGAGCTAGCCGCGCCAGCGGCGCCCGCAGCCCGCGCTCGGCGCGGGGGCGAGCTGCCGGCGCGGGGCGACGCGGCCTCCTCCTCCTCCTCCTCCTCCTCCTCCTCCTCCTCCTCCTCCTCCTCCTCCTCCTCCTCCTGGGGGGCTCCTCCCCCCCTCGGGGGCTGTGAGAGGTGCCCCTGGCCCGAGGTGCCCCCAGCTTTGCGCTCGACCCTGGGGCCCCTGGAGCCCTCTGGGGCCTCGAGAGGGGTGCTCTCTGGAGACCGCGAGGGCAGCCCTGGACATCCTGGGGGCACCCCGGGGCAGGGGCACGTCTGGCAGCACCCGATCATGCGTCAAACCTTCTCCTCCACCTCCTCCTCCTCCGCAAATCTACACGGAAAGCACTGCAGAGAATCATCCGCTCGCTGTGGCAGGCTGGCAAGCCGTAGATGGGCTCCTGGGGCAGCTGGGGCCAATGTGGAACGCTCCGAGAAGGGATGGCGGGACTCATCCTCGGGATCGGGGTCCCGGGCCTGGCGTCTGCCCTGCGAGGGCCTCGGAGGTCTAGGCTTCTTCTGGGGACCAGGGGCTGCTGACCTCTGGAGGTCTCGACCCCTGGGCGGAGTGGCCCAGGATGACCATCTCGGAGCTTGATGATAGTTGTGCCCTCGTTTTCGTGCTCTTCAGGGCTTGGCTGGGACCATCTGCACCCGAGGCAACTGGTGTGGCTTCCAGATCAGTACACACAAAAGTTCTTAGATATTCTCACGCGCTGGGAATCGGACCCAGAGGATCTGGATTCTCGGGAGTGAGACCCATTGTCCTGGCCTCGATATGGGTACGTGTCTGGTCTCCTCTCAGGCAGCCTGTTGCGAGGAATAGGAGGATCTACCTGAACAGTGATGTCTTTTGGGGAGGAGCTGGTTTCACCTACGATCGAGCGGGCCATGTGTACAACAGAATCCACAGGCTTGCTCGGGTATAAAGATTTGCCGCCGTCAGTGGTCTGCTGGATATGTCGGAATACTATGACCAGATTCGACAAAGACCTCCTGAGGGAGACGCTGATCATAGGATTCCTAGTCAAGCTTCTTCGGTGCCTGCATGCCCGGTACAGATTGCCACGTAGGGCTAGCCGGAAAGCTGTTATACCTAATACTATTATGGCCAACGCCCTACCCTTTGCCAAACTTCTAGCGCAGATAAGAATAATTAAATTACGCTTCAGCGCAAGTGCCCCCTTGTCAATTTCAAGAATATTGTCGTTTGTTTCCTCCCGCAAACGATTGGAGATAACGGGCAAGTGATTGAGCAGTTTCCGAAGGCGATGTCTACACTGGTGGCATCCCTCCGGCAGCGTCACTTAATTATGAATCCGGAAAAGACAGGACATATACAGGGTTCAGGCCTTCCCCCTTCCCCCAATGCTATAATGGGATCGCTCCCCCCCCCCCGCTGGATGGGTGCGCCCGTGAGCCTCCCGAAGGCCTCGCGAATTGGATCGCCCCAGCCCACCCTGTGGTCATGGCACTGTGGGTGTGGCGTGGTGGTGGGTGCTGGTGACCCCCCTCTCCGTGTGGGTGTGGGGTAGTTTGTCGTCGTCGTTGTGGCCGTCGTCGTCGTCGTCGACCGTCCTCCGTCGGCGTCGGCGTCGGCGTCGGCGTCGACGTCGTCGTCGTCCTCATCCCCCCATCCCAATTGTGGGTGCCTGCGGAACCATGGGGCCCATCCCATCCAGGGGGCCTGTGAACGCTCAACCCGGAATCACAAGACCAGATTGACCAGCTTAGATGAGGATCTCAATGAAAATGTGGACCTTAGTAGAGACAAGCGTTTAAGCAGCAGTGGATGCCTAGGGACGGATGCCAACAGTGGAAGTTCTCGGAGCGTTCAGGAGCAGAACAAGATACTCGAACAGAAACAGTCATGGCCCGTACCTGGCTGATTGCCTGGACAAGTGCACGCGCCGCTGCTGGACCCGAGCTGGCGGCGGGCAGCGCAAGCAACCACGCACGGGCACACCTGACACGACCCAACTTGCGCAACTGGCACAACCGGCAACCAACACATCAAATGCAGAACGATACCCGCAATGTCCTGGCTGTCCCGGTAGTCGCAGCAACACCCACGTCACACCAAGATCCCGGGGAAGTGCGCGATCCCACCAAACAGTTTGCCGTCGGCGGCGAGGCGGGACAACCCGCACCAGCAAGACAGCGATGCAGGGACACTACAAAGCGAATTGGCCGATCCCACCGAACATCTGCCCAAGATGTGCGCGCGACCTGCCACGACACGGAGCGCACCATGACCACGCCAGGCGGCCAGGAGAGTGCCGCTGGCTCGCCGAACCGTACAGTAGGGGCCCGACCACAAGACACCTCCCACAAGGAACCCAGCCATGGAACCCCGGGACTTCCATCGGTTTTTGGCATGGGAACGTCACGATTTCCATGGCAAAACCACCGAAGCCCAAGAAGCTCAGGGCACCATGGAGGCAGGCAGGGTGTTTCTTAGCACGGGCCCCCACTGTGCAAGGCTGCCCAAGAGCGCCACAACGGCCAGCGCGCATCCTGTTCCCGCGAGGCACGTGCGCAGCGGCTTCAAGGTCCTGTGGCAGCTCCTGGTTCAGAGGTAAGTCCTGATAACGATGGGCCGCCTCCTGATCTCACAACAGTGGGGGGGGGGCTCTGCTTCTGGTGGGGGTCGAAGGGGCCCCGTCAAGCAAGGTTGCGGAGGGGGTCTCGATTCCGGACCCCTTGCTGTCTCTTCGGATGTGGAGCAGGGACCGACCGTCCTGGCATTCCTATAGGCCTACCACGAGATGTTCTTAGAACCCAGAAATGTTCCAAGAACAAAAACAATGCTCTTAGAACAGAAACCCCATGTGTTCAAACAAGACAGTCTCGGTCAGAAATGTTCTGAGCATTTCGTGCAGACCACAAAAGGTTATTAGAACATTATTTGGTGGGCCTATAGGCGAGCCAGGACGCTTCGCCACTGCTTGAGGATGGGGGGGTCTGGACCGAAACGTTCAAAGATGTTTCTGGGGTGGGAGGGTGCATGGCTTCTAAAGCGGCTGCACCGCTCGGGTCCCAGACGGGCCGTCAGACACTGTTTTGCCCCACCCAACCCTTATCGAAAGTATGCGCGGTAAGGATGCATGGGCCTTGGAGCGCATTTCTTTATTTTCGGCGATAGTGGGCATTATACGAAGGGGGGGGGGAGCGGGCCGAGGGGGGGTATAATGTAACGCTCCCCCCCCCGCCGTGTGCCCGATGCGCACGGCGGCAGTGCTCGGAGCGCACGGGGGGGGGGGAGGGGCGTTATGTTATTAGGGGGGGAGGGGGGGGAGGGAGGGGAGGGGGCTATAATGCCCATTATGCCCCCAGCAATACAGAAACACTCTCTTGGAGGGCCATGCGAACGTTTTTCGAACGAGGTTGGCCAGCGAAAGTCGCCCAGGATGGGCCGACGGGGCGAGGATGCACGGGTGCCCTCGGGAAAACTGCCCATCCCTCAGGGGGCCGTTCCACGGAAACGTTTTGGTGAGAGAGCTTCGGCTGAGGACCTCCTCCTCCTCCTCCTCCGCCTCCTCCTCCTCCTCCTCCTCCTCCTCCTCCTCCTCCTCCCCCTCCTCCTCCTCTTCCTCCCCCTCCTCCTCCTCCTCCGCCTCCTCCGTGTCAGCTGTATCGTGAGACTTGGACTGCCTGCTCTCCCGACAAGGTCCCCCGCGCCTCGCCGCCAGTCCGCTGCGGAGCCGGCGCTGGCCGCGGCGCGGGCCGCCGCATCGGGGCGGCCACGGGCCACCGGCACGCTGAGCAGGGCCATGGCCGGCCGATGCCCCGGGCGCGGGGCGGCGCGGCCCTGAAGCTCATGGCGATGAGTCGTGCGTCTCTGGAGGACCAAACTCGCCAACAATGTATGACATAGAGGCATCAAACAGTGGCTAAGATTCTAGGAATTGCTACGGACCGAAGAAAACCGAAAATCAATAAATTCTGTTCTAATTTTTTTAAAATACAACATCGCCTACAATAGAGCTGATGCAATCGCCAACAAAATCGTGAGACACATGACGGGTAGAGACATGACGCAGGAAGGCGTTGAAGTAGATCGGGCTTCCGCCTGCCGCCTGAGGAGGAGGGAGGAAGGAAACCTGTCGATCCTTGAAGTAGGAAGGCGCCAAAAGTATACCGACATCTGAGAATCCAAAAATACCTACTTCCAACGACCGGCGTGTCATGGAGGGTGACCCCCTTACCACCCGCCCGACAAACACAGAATAAACAAACACATTCGAACTCCGCGGGGATCTCTTGGATCGGGGCTGGACCCCCGTCCCTGGCGGGCACCTCATCACCGCGAAGGCGGCTGGAGGCCTGCAAGGAACCGCGGCCGTGCGGCAGAATCCCTGGACTTCGTCCCGCCTGCCTCGGCTCGAGGGGCAACAATAGGGAGGGGGACTGGCACGGGGGGGGGGGGGAACATCGACCTGGGATCGGCTGTTCATCGCCGATGGGTCGGTGATAGGCCCCGCAAAGCGACAGCGTACGTTTGTGGGCGGGGTGGAGCTATCGGGCCCAAGATCAGCGACCAATGGGCGATCGGGGGTCGACGCGCCCCTGCCTGAGCCAATCCCCACCTCAAGTTGCCCTTAGCGTTGCCCCTGACAGCAACTGTTGCCCCCTGACATTGCCCCCCTCCCCGAATATTGCCCTGAGCCTGTCCCCACCCTGACGTTGCCCCTAACGGTGCCCGTAACGTTGCCCCCATAACGGTGCCCGTCACGTTGCCCAACATCGCGCACCACGGCACGCGACGTGTTGTTGCCTTCGCGCCACCGCGCCCAGCGTCGCCCACATTGGAGAAAGATAGCCGCTCTGGCCCAAGCCGCGGCGAGACCTCACCACAACGTACTAGTAGTAGTAGTAGTAGTAGTAGTAGTAGTAGTAGTCGTAGTCGTAGTCGTAGTCGTAGTCGTAGTCGTAGTCGTAGTAGTAGTAGTAGTAGTTGTTGTTGTTGTAGTTGTAGTAGTAGTAGTAGTCGTATTAGTAGTCGTAGTAGTCGTAGTAGTCGTAGTAGTCGTAGTAGTCGTAGTACTCGTAGTACTCGTAGTAGTAGTAGTAGTAGTAGTAGTAGTAGTAGTAGTAGTAGTAGTAGTAGTAGTAGTAGTAGTAGTAGTAGTAGTAGTAGTAGTAGTAGTAGTAGTAGTAGTAGTAGTAGTAGTAGTAGTAGTAGTAGTAGTAGTAGTAGTAGTAGTAGTAGTAGTAGTAGTAGTAGTAGTAGTAGTAGTAGTAGTAGTAGTAGTAGTAGTAGTAGTAGTAGTAGTAGTAGTAGTAGTAGTAGTAGTAGTAGTAGGAGTAGTAGTAGTAGTAGTAGTAGTAGTAGTAGTAGTAGTAGTAGTAGTAGTAGTAGTAGTAGTAGTAGTAGTAGTAGTAGTAGTAGTAGTAGTAGTAGTAGTAGTAGTAGTAGTAGTAGTAGTAGTAGTAGTAGTAGTAGTAGTAGTAGTAGTAGTAGTAGTAGTAGTAGTAGTAGTAGTAGTAGTCGTAGTAGTAGTAGTAGTGTTAAAGACGGCGGTCGAGGTCGTCGTCGTGGTCGTCGCCGTCGTCCGAATGAACCAAAGAACTAGTAGTAGTAGTGGTAGTAGTGCCAATGATAATCGTAAACGTAGCCATTGGCGTTGTAGGACAACTAGTAGTAGTAGCCGTAGTTGTAGCAGTAGGCGTAATATGTCTTAGTAAAAGTAGTAGTAGTCGTAGTAGTAGTGGAAGGAAAACTAGTAGTAGTAGTAGTAGTAGTAGTAGTAGTGGTAGTAGTAGTAGTAGTAGTAGTAGTAGTCGTAGTGGTGTGTTCGCATGAGTAGTTAAAAAAACTCAAGAGTAGAAATAGCAGCAGCAGCCGCAGCAGCAGCAGCAGTAGTTGATATTGCAGCAACAGTAGTAGTGGTAGTGGTAGTAGTGGTAGTAGTAGTAGTAGTAGTAGTGGTGGTAGTAGTAGTAGTAGTAGTAGTAGTAGTGGTAGTAGTAGTAGTAGTAGTGGTAGTAGTAGAAGTAGGAGCACTCGCAGCAGGAGTAGTAGGTGAAGTAAAAATAAGCGCCGCAGTAGTGGTAGAAGTAGTAGCAGTAGCCGGCGAAGTAATAATAGCAGTAAAAAACAGCGGAAGCAGTAGTGGAAGTAGTAGTAGTGGTAGTAGTAGTAGCCGTCGTAGCAGTAGTAGAACCCGTAGTAGTAGTGGTAGTAGTAGTAGTAGTAGTACTACTACTACTAGTAGTGCTGGTGGTAGTAGTTGTAAGAGTAGTAATAATAATAGCAGCAGCAGTAGCAGCAATAGTGGCCGTCATAATGGTAGTAGTACTAGAAGTGGTCGTAATAGTGTAGGGGTAGTAGTAGTAGTAGTAGTAGTAGTCGTCGTAGTAGCCGTAGTAGTAGTAGTAGTAGTAGTAGTAGTAGTAGTAGTAGTAGTAGTGGCACGGATAGTAGCAGTAGTAGTAGTAGTAATAGTAGTAGTAGTAGTAGTAGTGGTAGTAGTAGTAGTAGTCGTAGTAGAAGTGATAATACTTGTTGTGATCGCGGTCGTCGTCGCAGCAGTGGTAGTAGTAGTAGTAGTAGTAGCCGTAGTAGTAGCAGTAGTAGTAGTAGTCGTAGTAGTAGTAGTAGTACTACTACTACTACTACTAGAAGTAGTAGTAGTGATAGCGTCAGTGGTAGTAGTAGTAGCCAGTAGTAGAAATCAATAGTAGTAGACGTAGTAGTAGTCGTGGTAGTAATAGTAGTAGTAGTAGAAGTAGTAGTAGTAGTAGTAGAAGTAGTAGTAGTAGTAGTAGTAGTAGTAGTAGTAGTAGTAGTAGCGGTGGTGGTGGTGGTGGTGGTGGTGGTGGTAGGTAGTAGTAGGTGTATTAGTAGCACTAGTAGGAGTCGTAGTATTAGGTAGTGATAATAGTAGTGGTTGTAGTTGTAATAGTAGTAGTAGTGGTAGTGATTGTGGTAGTACTAGTAATAGTAGTGGTCGAAGTAGTAGTTGTAGTATGGGGAGTAGTAGGAATAGTAACAGTAGTAGTGGTATTACTAAGATAGTCATAGTCGCAGTAGTGGTAGCAAACATATTAGTAATAGTAGTACTAATGGTGGTAGTAGTAGTAGTAGTAGTAAATAGTAGTAGCAGTAGTAGTAGAAGAACGAGTCGCAGTAGTCGCAGTAGTAGCGGTAGTACTCGTAGTAGTAATGGAAGTAGTAGTACTAATAGCAGAAGTGGTAGTACGAGGCATTGTAGCAGTAGCCTTCGTAGTATTTGTCGCCGTTGTAGTAGAAGCAGTCGTAGTCGTCGATGTAGCCGTAGTAGTAGTTGTAGTCGGAATAGTAACAATAATATTAGTCGTAGCACTACTAGTAGTCGCACTAGTAGTAATAGTAGTAGTAGTATTAGTAGTAGTAGTAGTAGTAGCAGTAGTAGTAGTAGTAGCAGTAGTAGTAGTAGTAGTAGTCGTAGTAGTAAGACTAATAGTAGTAGTGATTCAAGATTAGAGTAGTACTACAGTGGGGGGGGGGGGGGCGATGCACAAGAAACTCACAGCAAGAAACCCGTCCCTTAAATCCGCCAAGGTTTCTTGGTCCAGGGTTGGGTTTCGTGCAAGTCGGCTGCACAAGAAAACCCAGGGCACCCTGGCCCGAACGGTTTCTTGACTGATGGCGTCAAACAATTTGACAAAAAAAACCAAGGCAATCGAACATGCGCAACGGAAAGGCCACGACTCCTCCTCGGGGGAAAGAGGAAACTCTGCTCCCATTTGGCTCAGGCCAGGGTGGCGAAGAAACCCAAAAGTGTCCTTGCATTTTCAATTTCTGTAAACATACGCTTGCCTCCCGCGCCGGACGCCAGCCAAAGAAACCCAGGAAACCCTGACGAAACGTTGGGTGTGCCTTGTCATGGTCCACCACTGTAGTAGTAGTAGCAGTAGTCGTAGGAGTCGGAGTAATAGTAATAGTAGTAGTAGTAGTAGTAGTAGTAGTAGTATTAGTAGTAGTAGTAGTAGTAGTAGTCGTAGTAGTAGTAGTAGTAGTAGTGGTGGTAGTAGTAGCAGTAGTAGTGGTAGAAGTAGCAGTAGCAGTAGTAGTAGTAGTAGTAGTAGTAGTAGTAGTAGTAGAAGTAGTAGTAGTAGTCGTAGTAGTAGTACTATTAGTAATACCGATGATCACAGCATTGGTAATAGTCGTATTAGTGGTAGTAGTAGTCGCAGTAGTACTCGTCGTAGCAGTAATCGTAGTAGTAGTAGTAGTAGTAGTAGTAGTCGTAGTAGTCGTAGTAGTAGTAGTAGTAGTAGTAGTAATCGTAGTAATAGTAGTAGTCGTGGAAAGTAGCAGTAGTCTTCGCCGTGATATATGAATCGTCGTGATAGCAGTAGTAGTAGACGTCGTAGTAGTAGCCATAGAAGTAGTAGTAGTAGTAGTAGTAGTAGCAGTAGTAGTCGTAGTTGTAGTAGTAGTGGTCATGGTAGTGGTAGTGGTAGTAGTAGTACTAGTAAAAGTAGTAGTAGTAGTAGTAGTAGAAGTAGTAGTAGTAGTAGTAGTAGTAGCGGTAGTGGTAGTGGTAGTAGTAGTAGTAGTATTAGTAGTAGTAGTAGTAGTAGTAGTAGTAGTAGTATGAGTACTAGTAATAGTAAAGGTAGTCGTAGTAGTAGTCGTAGTAGTAGTAGTAGTAGTAGCAGTAGTAGTAGTAGTAGTAGGAGTAGTAGTAGTAGTAGTAGTAGTAGTCGTAGTAGTAGTAGTAGTCCTAGTAGTAGTAGTAGTAGTAGTAGTAGTACCAGTAGTGGTAGTAGTAGTGGTAGTAGTAGTGGTGTTAGTAGTAGTAGTGACTAAAAGTAAAAAACAAAGGG